GATATTATTCTATGATATAGAACATTTGTTCTCCCTTTTATAAGAATAATAATTATGAACTGATCTATACTAGCACTAAATTAATATCCATGGAGGCTCATTCAGTTTGGCTAGAGGTACCAATAATTTCATTGCATATGTTTGAAAGACATGGTATTAATGCTTTTACAAATACAACTTTTTAAATTCTCTTTCTTCTGACTGTGCCATATATGCTACACCAACATACAGAATGTTGGTGCAACTATTGCTTGTGAGTTAATTAGCTATACAAATTTGTAGTCATAATGAAGTTCCTAGATTTTGTATCCCAACCATAAATAGGATCCCACATGGTACAAAGGACACCTGAAGGGGAATGTGTAGCAAACCGTTGTTGAACTACTATTATTCCTCATCATTGACTTTACTGATTGTGGATTATAGGAGCTACAGGCCAGAAACATCTGGAGAGCTACACTCCTGATCCAGAAGCTTAGCTGTCATCTTGGGCAGAACTGCCCTGTCCAAGCTCTGACCCACACATGTGAAGCGGCCTAGTATGCCATCACTTGTCAGTCAGTGCCCACTTGTGCATTGTCTACACTGGTAAGCAGACACTAAAAAATAGGGTTGGGTGAATTGATCAACCTTAGATTCTGCTGGGTGGTTCGCCTCCTCCTCCTGTTTTACTTTTAAGTTTCTTCAATCTCCATTCTTCAATCTCCATCCAATCTCCATTAAAGTTATAAAAATTGTATAGATCATGTACATATTTTTGAATGAATAAAACCAATGCTTATTTATTTCCATAACATATGTGGATTTTTGTGCTCAATTTTACAATAGTATGCATTTGGAGATATACCGGCTTCTATCCAGTGGCTGTGCAAGTGGAAGACTTCCTGCTCAGTTTTCCCCTCCCTGTGTGACCGAAAATCTCTCTGAAGGATCTAGAGCACTTTTGAACAGCATTGGGTGTGACATGGCTGCAGTGGGAAGTGGACATCACTTAGAAACAGAGCTCTTCTTGCACAAGGTTACTCTGCTTGAGCCTCCCTCTTTTTCCTCCACCCAATAGTTCAAAGCAGATAATAGTTGGAAATCTATGATAAGCAACTATCAACACAACAAATATATAATACAAAAGAGAAGAACACAGAACAATCAATATCATAACAATGCTTACTCAATAGTGAATGACCTAGTGAATTCAGTAGATTTTTTCTCCTAAAGAAGGGTACATGGGGTTGCAACCCTGGGATGCAATTTTGTGCTCCTTTACCTGATAATAAGCCACAGGAGAATCTAGAGTAAACAAACTTATGCTTGCTCTTAATTCTACAATGCAGATTTACTCATCTAAAATAAATACATAAAACTGCATATTTTATTCTAGTTTTGTAGCATTATTGTTTTTGACATTCACAAATGTGGCTCTTATTTTAAAAAACTCAGCAGACCCTTTACTCTTCTACTTTATAGAGAAAAATGCCCTGAAATATTTCATTATTTCTCAGTTACTTTTTTTTAGAATGAAGGAGAAATCAAATGATGAAAAAGCAGGGGAAAGAAAAGGACAAAGAATTTATTTTGTCCTAACCTGTTCTTCAGAGCTCACACTTCCTTCCAAGATAGCTTTAAATAGCTATGTTATAGTGACATTGTCACATTTCTAATCAGAGATGAACACTCTGCTTTTTTCACTAACCCCCAACAAAGGGTAAGGGCAAACTTCTCCTTCCATGGAGGTTGAGCTGTGCTTAATGGAAGAGAGCAAGTGTACAGTTAATAGTACCTAGAGATTATTTGCCCTTTGAAAATACCATCAAAGGAGCTGCAATGATGCCAGCATTAAGAGATGGGATTTGCTATTCTTCTGCAATAGGTAGAGCCACTGTTTCCTTCAGTTTATTAGACAGATGGCAGTACATGAACTTTAGGCACACCATCTGCAACTCCTTCTTTGGCATCCTACGCTTCTAGAGACAAAGGCACCAGGCATCTTGGTTTCAACCTGCCAAAATCTCTCACTCCCAACCTGGTATCAGGTATCCTCAGTTTACCCTTGCAGTGCCCTCCTTGACATATCCAATTACAGAACTCAAAATTCATCTAAGAGAAGCATTAATGAGGAATTTTAAACGTGGGATACACTGAAGTTAATACTATTGCAAAAACAGTTAATCCTAAAGGCCTTGAAATTTTGATTCTATAAAACATATTTTAGCTATCAAATATCTGAAGAAGCTATGAATACAACAGATTGTATTATGCATGTGGGAAACATACTGGAAAGTGTTATCTATAAGTCTGTGCAGATTTCAGTCTATGCCGCTATTTCAGAGTTGCCTACTACTGAATGACAAATTTCTGGTGCCTGGGTGGTTGGAAGGTGAAAAATCTGTCAGTTAACATGGCAAAGCCCAGATGCTGTTCATAGAAGGCATACAGATATTCCATATACTTACAAGTGTCTGCCACCAAGCAATACAGGCATATTTGATGTCAGGCCTGACACAGTTCATCCTAACATAATCCAAGCTCCAACTGTGTCACAAACAGAAACCATGAAACAGAAATATGTAACAAGAAGGTAAGCTTAGACACAGATTATGCTGTTAAAATTGGATTATGTATGGATCTCAGAGAGAAATTCAAAACTTTGTATCAATGAATTAATTCCATGCTATCATAAACCAATTTATGAGCTTGGCCTCAGTGACTGCAAGTAATTTTGAAATAGAAGTAAAAATTTATTAAGAGCATGATTTTGTCAACTGCATCCTCAATTATCAGAAGTTCCTGGAGCTTAAAGTACAAGGCAGGAGAAATGACAGAATGGAATGGTGATCTTCAGCTCTCTGACCTCCCACCCTGCGTATTTAGCTAGACAGGTTTTTTAGCCCATCTAGTGATGGTGCTGTAGAAGAGGATGGAAGGAGACTGGAGGAAGCTCAGGATAACCTCTGTTCTAGCCTCTCCAGTCTCTTCTCCTGCTGGCTCATTAGAACGCCCACCCTGTCCTGTTCTCAGAGGTCAATTTTTCAGCTACTCAGGGCAACTCACACAGTACTTCCTATAGTGGCTGTGTTCTGGAGAGGGATGTCAGTTGGAACCCATCTTTCCCTTCAGAGGTCAGAGCACTGTCTCCAGCCTCAAAGAGGGAATCCCTAGTGTCCTATGGTCCCTCATGCAATGTGTAGGGGTAATAGGACTGCATCCCAAATGTTTTTAATGTTCTTAAGAGCTTCTAAATCTATATATGTCATAGCATTTGGGGGATCTATTTAAAAAAAAAAAACTAGAAATGACACCACTTTCTCTGCATACCTCAAAAGTAGTCCTTTTCAAATAAAGTAAAATAATATCAGGGCTGCAAAAGAAAGACAAACACTGTGTCTGCACAATCACCATGGCACAAACAATCCACATTGTTTTAAGTTGCAGTGGGTACAGGGTGCCATTTGCTTACTCATCAGAATGTAGTTTGCTGAGTCATTTGATCTGGGGTGGCATGGCCTGTTTAGGGGAAAACAATTGTCAAATAATCCAGGTTCTTCTGTTGAGTTATTTTTACATTATTTCCCACTCCAAAAGGCCATGCTATCCAAGATCAGATAATGGCACTGCATCTGACAGGCAACTGGGTGAATAGCATTGGGCATGTACCACATCTTAAAAAAACTTGGGTGATCATGCAAAGTAAGGCTTAATACATATGTTGTGTTTTACTTCTTAAAGAGACAAGCCAAGAAGATCTCAATGCAAAGAGGCCATATAAGAGTATTAGAATAGAATCCTTTCATCTGGGGGCAAAAATAATTAGGAATAGCTGGGCCAGCACTATTTCCTGAAAGGTTAGGAAAATTCTATTCCTCCATGACTGTAGCAGCTACCCCGGGCAGTTCTTCAATTAAGTTGTTCATGCTCCTCTTACAAGTCAAAGAAGTGGCTGAATTTGAAGATTTCTGATATATTGCTGTTCTTTTTTCATGATCAAAAATATACATGTAGTAAAGTGGTTCTGAAGAGCCCAAGGGGTCCATGTCCTGATACGCTTTAAGCATGACATGAATGAGAGGGAAAAACTCTTAAGTTTTATTAGGAATAGTTCAATCACAGCAAAAGGGCAATCGACCCATAACACATGGTACAATCCCTTTTATACCTTTGATGAACAGGCTGCTATGACAGACACTCATCGGATTGAAATTCCGTCTGCAGATGCTGATGAGTATATTTGAATTTTGGCGATTCCCACTCTTTTCTCGGATGATGTACGAGGTATCTAGGACAGCGAGGAATTTTGCATTCCCCGCCTCTGTGACTTGGCTTGCAGGAAACGTGACTAGCCTGCTGTCTTTAACGCCAGCCAGGTATGTCCTACACTTCCATAGATCAATAGATCACTTCCCATATTCACATTTATAATTTAATGGCTGCAACATTAAATGATGACTTGTGGCCTATCATGGATTGAACGTGACAGATATTGCTTTCAAATTGCATAATAATCACACCATCTAAATCATACTGTTTCTCAACGGAGTCAAGTCACACATCTCAATGGAGGCAGAGCAAATTTAAATAAAGTTATGTATGCATGAATCAGCCCTAGATTTTCTACAAAGTCTACTTGAACATTTTACCAACAGTACTGCGAAGATAAAGAAAGGGTCGTACTACTGCATGCAATAGCACCATTTTATTCATATACTTGTTACCACTTTCCATATGTTGCAATTTATTCGCAAGTGTCCTCTGAGTACTTTATGAGACGAGTATAAAACTCCAGGAAAATCCAATATTTTCTGAACAACACAGCGTGAAGACTACTGAATGAAATCTTGGTCCCAAAGAATACTGCTTTCCCTGACTAGATTCAATACCATTTCTTCGAAAACACGCTTTCCCTCCCCTTTAAGAAATACAACTCCCAGCATGCCTGAACGCTGGTGCTATTCAGGGACGGCAAAGCAATGCATTCCGGGTAAAGCAGTCCAAGAAGTGCTAAAAACTTTTAGCTACGTGTTCGTTCTGTTTATCCAGCTTTTAGGTTTCAGTCAGATAAAAGCTAGAAGGCATTTCAGCGGACTAGGAAGTTGCTAATACGCGCGGCTTTCAGGTCAGGTTGCACGGACTCCGCCTTTTTTCCTCCTCTTAAGTCCCGCCGTTGGCGCCAAATCAGAAGACGAGGTTTTCCTGGGCGAGCGGGCGCCTGGCCTTTTCCTTGCCTCGCTTACAGCAAGATGAACGGTCTCGGCGGCGGCGGCGGCGGCGGCGCCTCGGAGTCCAGTTCCTCCAACGGGTACGAGCGTGGGTTGCTAATGGCTCGAGTTTGGGACATGTTGCGCCTCTTATTTCCAAATGTGCTTAGGAATGGCCACTCATATAAGTTCTCTTTCCTCATATTTCGCTGGGAGAACTGAATGGGGACACTCCGACTTGAAACTGCAGTCACACGCTTCCTTTAGCTCCAATTTGAAGCGCTGTTTTCATCCCGTCTCCCTGCTGCAAAGTTTAGGAGTGAGAATTTTTAAAATAGCTGGATATTATCTTTGAGTTTCCTTTTTTAACATAGGGGACACTGATCTTAATGAAAGTAAAGGGATGAGGAAAAGCTTCATTTAAACTTTTTTATTATTATTTGAAACTTGTTTATTCTCTCTTTTTTTAAAGAAAAGTGGATATACTTCTGAAAGCGATTCGAGCTTCCTCCCTTGTTTCATTCAGATCAGTAACGTTGTTGTTAGTCGCGAAGTCGTGTCCGACCCATCGCGACCCCATGGGCAACACTCCTCCAGGCCTTCCTGTCCTCCACCATCTCCCGGAGTCCACCCAGCTCACACCAACTGCTTCAGTGACTCCATCCAGCCACCTCATTCTCTGCCATCCCCTTCTTCTTTTGCCATCTATTGTTCCCAGCATTAGACTCTTCTCCAGGGAGTCCTTCCTTCTCATTAGGTGGCCAAAGTATTTGAGTTTCATCTTCAGGATCTGGTCTTCTAAAGAGCAGTCAGGGTTGATCTCCTCTAGGACTGACCGGTTGGATTGTCTTGCGGTCCAAGGCAGGAGTCTCCTCCAGCACCACAATTCAAAGGCCTCAATCCTTTGGCCTTTGAATCCTTTGGCCTTTGGATCCTTATGGTCCAGCTTTCACAGCCATACATTGCAACTGGGAAAACCACAGCCTTGACTTTTGTTGGCAGGGTGATGTCTCTGCTTTTTAGTATGCTGTCTAGATTTGCCATAGCTTTCCTCTAACCTTATAGCAGTGCAATCTTATGAATGTTTGCTCAGAATTAAATCTCACTGCTCCGAATAGGACTTCATCGCAAGTAACTGGGCAGAGGATTCCCTAGTAAATCACTTGAACAATCGACAAGCAACGAAAGGGTGGGATTTTTCCAAACTTCAATTTGAGGTTGGTTGCTTTTAATCAATTATGGTACAATCCTGTGCAACTGGGACTTGTATGACTTTTTTGTCTGTCTTACCAAGCATAGGATTGCAACCTGAGTGAGCTTATTCTGTATCAGCTATCCTGTACTGAAAAGGTAATAGACTGATGATACAGGTTTGGAAATCCACTACCCATTCCTTTTACCCTTTCAGAATGAGGAGAGAGCTTGCTCTGTTTCCATTTACTGTAGTCTGATATACAATGAGTATTTCGAATGAGCCCTCAACAAAGCATAGAATATACTGGATGGATTCACTTAACAAACGCATCTCACAGTCAAGGTTAAGAGTAGGATGTTGTGTTGTGTGAGCTTAACTGCCCTAAGAAAAATGATTTGTTACACACAAACCTAGCATAGTTCATAAACCATGAGTTCTGTTTGTGATTAACATGAGAGCCAGCGTAATGTAGTGGTTAAGAGCATAGGCCTGGGACTCACTTGATCTGGGTTCTAGTCTGAACCATGAAGCCAGCTGGAGGATGACTTTGGGCCAGTCACAGATTATCAGTCCAACCTACCTCACAGGTTTGTTGTTACAGGGATAAGACTCAGCAGCAGGAGGAGAATGATGTTAGCCACTTTGAGTTCTTTAAAAGAATAAAATAAATAAGATTAGGTGTAATAAGAACTCTGCCTGTGGAGCACTATAATGATAAATGGGAGGAAGAAAAGTCACATGCTGAAGTTTTTATTTGTAGATTCTTATTTTTTCCCTTTATTAGTAATCTTGCAGTATACATGCCCATAGATAAGAACTAGGCATTAGCTTGGAAAAAACAAGGTTTGAGAATTACAAAAGAAATTTTTACAGGAAAAACTAGCAAAGCGGGGGTAAAAAACATATCTCAATGAGACAGAGCACGCTGAGCAACTGCTAGGGAAGAGGGAAACAAGATGGAATGCACTAGAGAGGGTATGGCTGGCTGAAGCAATGAATAAGGTGATTCCTAAGATTTTTAATATTTTTGGATATGGAAAAAAATCTAAAGCAAATGCAGCTCTGCAGCATTCTCCAAAATTAACATGAAGTCACATTTTTCCAAAGAAAATACTTCCTTCAGATGAGATACTCTGCTCCAAGCAAAGTGAGATACGTATTGAAAGATATTACTTCCTGTCGGGGTGAAGCCAATATTTATTTACTTAATTTCTACACCACCCATTAGCCAAAATGGTTCTCTGGGTGGCTAACCAAGTCATAATGAAGAACTTACATGATACAAACAATAAAATTAAATCAGACATGCAAAATATATCATTAAAAATAACAAGACACAGCAAAAAAACCCACAGCAGCCACAACTCAAGTTAATCCAGGGTTATAGTAGCAATAAAATACAATAAATGCCATGTAGATAAAAAGATTATAAAACTTATAAAAGATTGTTTTAACTATTAAAACATTGGGCAAATATAAAGGTTTTTTCCTGGCACCAAAAGGAGTAGAAAGAGCGCCAAGCAAACCTCTTTGAGAGATGATTACAGAGTTGGGGTGCCACCACCAAGAAGGCCCTTCCCATCGTAGCCACCCACTTAATACCAGTTAGGATGCATAATAGATATTACAGAGGGAATGTGATTGCAAATAACAGTGTAGTTAAGCAAGCAACTTGTAACCTCCAGATTTTTTAGGCTGGCAAATCTTATATCATTGCCAATACCGGCAAGGGCTAGGGAGTTGCAGTCCAAAAATATCTGGAGATCCATAACTCACTTAACCATCATATAGATTACATATCATAGAGAACTATAAGGGGTCTACTGCTCATTTGATAATGAGTGACAGGGTATGTCAAGTATATCACAAAGACAACAAACAGTAAAAAATATGGTATCTACCTGCTTGGGTATACAGTGTGGGATTTTACCTATGAAAGGTGACTCAGGAAAGGAGAATGAATATATAATATTCAGAAGAGTTGCCTGGTTTCAGGAAAAAGTAGGAGACATTTGGATATCTTTCTGCCTTCTCTGCAGCTCTTTGTTGATACCTTGAAATGTAAGAGTTAGGGTTGGTAGCAAGTGGTCCTGGTAGCAGAATTCTGCAAAGCATTATTTTTGACTTGTAGTGACAAATGTCAAAATACCTGCCTGAATTCTATGTGACATTCATGCAGGTGTGTAAAATAGGACTGGGGAAACATAATAAAACTAGAAGGTCTGCACTTTACAATGAACCTGCAAAATTCAGTGATTGCTAATATCAGAAATCTTTTCAAAATATATTATTTAGCTTATATTCTAAATAGCATTTTATGTTAGTTTGATGTTCTCCCAAACAGAAGCACAGGCATAATAAAGAACACAAAAATAATTAAATGCGCTGCATAGTACTGTAAATGCAACTCTCATTGTGCATTACAGGAAAAAATTACACGCTAGTGGCATTCAAGAACAACTGATTATTGCCAAAAGCCTGGAAATCCATAAAACTAAACAATATTATTTTCTATAAAGGCTTTGATTACATTCAATATTCTAAGCAGGGGGTAGTGTGCAATTTTAAAGAACACAACTATTTAGATAAAACCTTTCTATGCAAGCACTTCATCTTGATTGTGAGGCAAGAAGAGTGACAAATTTAAAGGAAGTAGCAGATGCCCTTGGATAGTGAGGGATGAAGGTTAATGTCCCGAGAAATATAACCAAGGTGACGAATGCGGGGTTTTTAGGTGGAATATTGCCAAAGTCTTAAATAGTTCACTCTCTGAGGTAAATAATATTATAAAATACAATTGAAACAGATATAAATCTTTAGTCTCTTTGTGAGTATAAAATGGTGACGTTTAAGCACAGTTTGTAATGCATTCTGGATAGGTACAGAATACATACAACTTTTCTGAACAAAGAAGCCTCATATGGAGCAACCTCATTCTAAGTAAAACCAATCTTTTATCCAGTCTACTTTTGACAAGCCTAAAGAACAGGAATTCTTCACAGTTCTAGGAAAGAGACTTTTTTCTGACTATAATAAGTCACTAAGAAATAAACGGGACTGGATATAGTTTGTTTGTTTGTGAACTACCCAGTGAAGTTTGCTGATGGGTGAACTGGTTTAAAAGTATCATAAACAGATTAAAAGCATTTTTCTATCATTGAATTACACTCTTCTAATAGAGAATTACAAAGTTCCTCTCATCCAGGATAACTTAACCTGCTAGACGCTATTGAATTTAAATTGGCTGCAAAGAAACAGAATAGCAAGGAATGCAATTCAGGTTGTTTGTTGATAAGCTTTGATATCTCAGACTGTTCAGGACTCCCACTAATTCAAAGTCTTTATACAAAAAATTAGAGCTTCTTTATTTTTCTTCTATACAAGGATTTTAGTGACAGTATGATATAGCAGTTCTTATGCCCTGGGAATTCTCTGAACTATCATGCACAGACTGGTGCAAAAGAAAGGTACAAACTTGATCTATTGTTTTCCATAAATTCAGGAAATTGTTTTGCAAATGTTTGGGAATATTAATTCAGTATCCACTGATTTGCAGGAGGTACCGGTTGGGGCTTTTTGGTATAACTAATGCTCAGTATGTACAGTATTAATATAAAATATTTTTAAGAATACTGAGATTTCTCCCTTTGTCTTTAGTTACCTATCCCTAAGCAGTGAGGAAGGACAAAATTTTCCAGTAGGTTATTTTTCTATGGAAAGAAATATTTTCTTAAATTTCTTGAATAGATGCCAATTGCACATACAATATTAAGCAAACTTGGCTGTTTCAAAGTTGTAATTAATGTGTTTCAGGTGTTTATCCTGAATAGGTATATGAAGATGTATCCATGTCACTGTAATACATGTGTGTCTCAGAGTGAAATGAAACTAATAAATAGTGGCAGTAAAATGGAAGTGTTCTAACAACCTCAGTGGAAAAGAATTGCACTCAGTTGAAAAAGATGACTGTCAAAACATCATACACATTTCTTTAAGTTGTTAAAATTATAAATATGTCACTTTTCATGGGTTTTCCCTAAATTTAAACAATTTAAGGGAAGTATATGCTTGTTTCTTTAAATTTTAAAAATATCCCACTTAAAATTTCTGCATAATATATCATTAAGAGCAAACATTTAGAAGACCCTAGGATTATTTGGATTGCCAGGTCTGAGGTTTAGAAAAGACCTTGCAGCTAAGGACCCCCACTTTCATCCCATTCACTTCACTTGCAGCCTGTGTGGAAAGAATAGCATCCATTATATCTTCAAAGACCTTGGAAATAGATTGAAAAGGGGAGGAGACCAGCTCCAGCCTCCTTCCCTTCCTGTCCAAAGTACTGCAAGTAGACCACTGAAACCGGCTATCTAGATGTTTTGCAGGGTAGGATAATCATCTCTATACACCTTCCACCCTGCATAGGAAGTCCATAATCTTCTGAGTTCAGAGGCTTGCAGGGATCTCCACTGAATTGCAGCTGAAAGCACATTGATGAGACTTTAATTTTGTTCTTTAAATATTTCAGGTCAAATACTTACGGTGTTTTGGGACAAAAAGCATACTTTTAAAAGCTGTATATACTAAATACAATTAATATGCTAAAACTTGCAAGGCTTGGCAACTTGTTACCTTCCAGATATGTTGGCCTCCCATCAACTCTAGCTAGCATAACCTATGGTGAGGGCTGATGGAATTTGTAGGCCAAAATGTCTGGAGAAATACAAGTTTCCCACACTATCATCAGAATATTTTTTGTGTAAACAGAATATTTACCTATGCAAATGACCCAGTGCAAAGAAATCCATTTTACATAGCAAAACTTTCAGAAAACAATACCCCACATAGCTAATCCCAAATATCTTTTACTATGTTTCAGATACTACCTTCACTTACCAGGATATAACATTTATCAGTTTCAATTTTTTCACCTACTATAAATCTAGTGGACTGTATCAGATGGTTGTGCAAAGAGCCTTGTATTCATCAAAGCAAATTTTCTCCTCTTTGCTTCCCCTTCTGCAGTCCTTGCTCACATGAGAAGTGTCTCCAGAGAGCTAGGGGATTTCCTGAATGGTTTGATCCATGTTGAACAATGCTGTGGAAAAGGATAAGGATGCTTTCCACTTGTACAACCATTGAATACATTCCAGTGGTTGTAGATGTCTTGGTCTATTTTTTCTTCTTTAATCTATTTCAGGAATAATCTTGACTACCTCTTTTTGCATTGATGCAAGATTATTAATTTGGTTTTGTCAAAACAGGCATACCCTGTTCTTCAAAACAAAATATAAAAAATCAGTATAGTTTAGACAGAGTCATTTTAAAGGGGATTACTAGGAAATTCGTTTGTTGACAGTGGAGTTGATTGTAGTTTGGACTTGGTCCTATAAGAAATCCTGTAAATATGTTAGTGGTTGAAAACAGTTGAAATTAATGTTTTGGTGCTGAAATAAGTAATCTGAAACCGCCCATTATGTCTTAATTCCTTGAAAGAGTGTTTCTTACTGAAACTGGGTAGAGCTGAAGTGGTTTAATTCAAATCTAAGCTCATCTGAGTCTTTAAACTGAGTCTCTGTCATGATGTAATGAACAGATTGCCTTGTCCTGACTAGTGTCTTAGCTAAATCGAATTTATACACTGTGCACCTCTTACATCTTAGTTTAGACTAAAGTAGTGATTGCCCTTCAGGTGGGTTCTCCTAGGAGTAAGAAATTGGGAAAGAGAGCTTATTCTCTGCAAGTTGAATGATATGTGTTCTCTTGAAGTTTTCATAGACATTGGTGAGGAAGTGGTATCATGAGGAAGGGTGTTGGCTCTGTAGTAGCAAAAAAGGAGTTTTGAAAATGTTGTATACATAATTTTAGCAGGAACCCAACCTTGGACTCAGCTTTTTAGTTCTCATGTAGTCTTCTTCAAATGAAGATCAGAGGAATTAATTTTGGGTTTTTCAGAAGAAGCTAACTGGTTGCCTTTTGTGCCATGAAGCCATCTATCTCCCAATTCTCAAAGTAGTTTTCAAGAATAAAGAGCAATGGTTATATGAAGAAAATGTTTAAAAGCATTCCAAAAATGCTGCATGTTAGGTATCCAAGGAGCTTCTGGGGAGAAAAAATGCCTAAGAGAGAAGCAAAGAGGAAATTGGAATTCAGTTTTTGATTGAGGACCAAAGTCAGAGGTGGAATAACACTTACTATGCAGTGGAAAAACTGCCTCTGCATTTTTACGAGCAAAGTCCATGCATGTTTATAGAACTTCTTTCTGTGTAAACATTACTTTGGACCCTAAGTCAATATTAAGCATTTTTGCCTGGTAGAAATAAGGCTCAAAATGCATAATGTATGTGAGCAAATATATTTTCAGTATACCATAATCCTAGAGCTGATGGAAACTATTAATGATTCTTTGGTCTTCTAGATTGTTTTGCAATTAAAAAGCAGCTATGGAACTGCAGAAGATTTAAACCTTAGCATAGTGATTAAGCACCAAGAGAAATGCTTCAATGTTTGTTTTCATTTTGTATGCTGGAAGAAGTAAAATAGAGGACTACCAGTGTCTATGTTCTTTGCAGGTCACTCTAAAGGAGTTATTTTAAAGCAGTCATTTTCTGTTGACTAAAATTCAGGATATGGGTGATTGCCTTTCAAGGAGAAGTAAATGAGATGTGTATTAGGAAATGCTGACACGAGAGGTGTCTTGGTGTACATAAAACCTACAAATTGAGTTTTAGATACTATGGTTGAGTGACATCAGATAAGGCTAGAAGATGGAGGATACTTTTGAGATACCTGAACCTAGGTAGAAATTAAAATGGCTGCTTATAGCGCTAGAAGCAAAATTGGAATGAGTGTAAACAGTGTTTTTAGGGTTTTTATATTGTTTCAAAAATTTGTTTAAAGGACAGCAATTTAACAAAATTATGTATGCCACACGAAGCAAAAAGCAAGACTTTCTCTTGAAAGTCACAGTCCAAGTCACAATAACTCTCATAGAAAGTATTATCTCTTTTAAGTAATTATCTAAAGAATCAGACCATGTTTTAGTAAGGAATTTATTTGAAATACTGGTTTGGTTTTTCATTTGATTTATTGTTCTACCTACCTATTCAGTCTGTCTAGAAAGAAACTAAAAGAGGAAGCACTTGACTTCTGACATTAGAATGTATGACAGCAACAATACTTATAAGATGTGTAACCAAAAAACATTTTTCAACAGATAGTTTGCACAAACAAGCCGTGCTGATGAAGTGACATTTTAATCCCTAGCAAGTGCCAGGTGCCACTTCTCTAATTACCAGTCCGAGTGTGGCTTGTTATATTGTCTGAACTCTGGTAGCATGGATTGTTTGAGGGGGAAACAATCCTTTAATAATGCCACAATAAGCTCTTAGTTATCTGAAGATTGTTTCTTTCTCAAGTAAACCATGTCATCCAGGTTTGGACAGCATGAGAAGCTGTGCCTGGCTGAGTCATTAGGGAAACATCTCTCAACATGTTTCAGAGTTTGTGCAAACTGGTTCTGTGACACCACACAAAATGTTCAACAAAGGATGTTTCACTTTCTATTTTTACTTGCTTAGCTATAATAAATGAAATTGTTCCAGGTGCTTCCAATTAATTATAGGTATTTTTGCTGAAGTTAGTTAAGGTGCAATTCTATACGTGTTTAGTCTGGCTTGGGCATGCTGAGAATTATGGGACTTTTTTCTGCCTAAAAATGCACAGGACCGCATCCTTAATATTGGTAATGTTGGAGCAAGGAAAATAACCTTTCCCATCTTTCTTCAAAGAAGGTAATATTGAGGGATAGATAATAGCTAGCATTGTGCTGCTTAAAGACTGCAAATTGCCACTTTAAATGAGATAATTCAGTCTCCTTTGGCCTTTCTGGTTTGAAAAGCAGTGTTGCTCATAAGACACTGGGCAGATAGGAACACTGATATTCTCCACCATTAAATTCTTGATTTGAATCTATAACCTTCAGGGTCAGATGCTGCTCTGTTAGTTGTACTAATTAAACTCTGGTGCCACTCTGAAATTTTACATCACAGTAATTGACTTATTTCCAAAGACTCAAACACTGGGGTCAGAGTACAGCCATTAGAGCCTTTAAAAAAAAAAATAAAACAGTTCATGCAAGTCACAACCATTACTGTCATTTTATTTGATTTCTGTAGGTATAGTTGTGAAACGACCTGTAAAAAACGTGATGACTACCTAGAATGGCCTGAATATTTCATGGCTGTAGCTTTCTTGTCAGCTCAAAGAAGCAAGGATCCAAATTCTCAGGTAAGAACATGGTCTGTGGGCAGGCATTGATTATATATTTGTTGCAAAATCATACTGCAGTAAGTCTTTGGTCATACAAAACAATCCAGTTATTAAATTATCCCACGTTACAGAAAAAGGAGACTTTGCTTTTGTTCTATTTTTACTGGTCAAGTATTAACTTGAGCTACTTTTCCCTGGGAATCTTACTTGGCACTAGACAAGAAATTAACCTTATATTGACAGATAATATGGTTGAAATCGAGATTGAGATTAAAGTTTGTTCTATCCATGTAATTTAGCATCTTTTCCTGGAGATTCTAACTGCTTCTTCCATTCATTAGTATACGTCAAGATTTAGGAAAAGATCAACTTGGCCCACCAAGTGCTATTACAATAAGCAAGTATGGTTGGTGAAAACTTAACAACTTAGCTTAATGAAACATTGTTAAATGGATATCTTTGATTATATTTGAAATTGAAAATAGGAGAACTTACTATTTAAAAAAATATGAATGACTTATATGGGTTGGTAAGTTTATATGTGTTTCTGTATGGAGTTAACTATATTTGATTAAATGGAGTTTAAGTCAGATGAAACATTAGTGAGTTTAAAGAAAATTGGCTTAAAGTTATCACTAAGCAGAGTAGGTAGGATGCCCTTTGAGATGTCAAATAGATCCTTTTGAAGTTACTAGTAATTGTGGTAGTGAGGAAGTTATTTTTTATTAGAAAAATGGATAGATTTTGAATTGTTTAGAAATGTTTAAATGGAAATTTATCACTGAAGAAGAAAGTAGATGTTGCAATTTCACCCAACCTGGAGAAGCTTTCCTTAAATAATGGTCAAGAGAAGCAGGACTTTGTAAGAAAAGATGGGATTGATTTTACCAATAAAGAAGATGGAAGAAGGAAGATAGTGACTTCTATCAAATTTGGAATTACATTTTTATTTGGCTGGAGAAACGGGACTTGGTTTTGACCTAAAGATGTTTTCATGTTTTTATAAAAGGATTATAGTACGATCATAGAATGTTAAAGGACATGTTGCAGGGGGCTGACCCAGTAAATCTGATGTGTGTGATGATTGATATGTGTAGTTTTAGTTTAAAATCTTAATTAAAAAGTATAAGCAAGTATATGGTTGAGACTTTTGTACCTGTATGATTTTCCTTCTTTTTAGAATGGTACCCTTTGAATGAGATCATTCAAACTATTCAACTATATCCAGTGATGCCTACATTTTCAGTGTAGATGTTGCATGTCACCCAGCCCAGTTGATTTAGGTTTTTGTTTATCATTCACATGTAGCAAACCATAATGTAGACAAGTTGTTTCTCAGAGACTTAAATGCTTTAAAATGAAGAAGAGTGCAGGCATTTTCATCTTGCATGCCTGTCTTTAATCTCTTATTAAAAGCTGAATGAAAGCTCACTATTCAATTGACTTACATTTATTGTTATGCCCTTTAAGGAGAACTGGAATGTTGCATGGTGTGCTTATTTATTAACATTGGTTTTGGAATGTCCAGGATGCCTTACAAGAAATGAAGCAGTTGACAACATTAAAGCATAGTGCTAAAAGCAATCACACCAGAAATAAAAATACATTGGAGATTAAAACCTGGGGAAATAAAACAGCTTTCACTTAGTACCTATAAGAGTTTAAAGTATGCATGAAGCATTGTTCCTGGGAGGATAATTTCACAAATAAGGTACCAAAACTGGAAAGATTTTCTTGGGTTGGGGGTACCCCAGGGAGGACCTCCTTATAAGATACTAGAGTGTGGGCAAGCTAATGTGGAATAATATGTTTCCTAGATCCCTAACTACATACAGCTTTAACGCTAATCACTTTGACTTTGAATTATTCTCAGAAATCGAACTTTTTAAGTACTGGCAAAATGTGTGTTTAACATCCATTATCAGTTAGTAGCTTGGTGGCTGGCACAGGTTTTAACTAAGTGGTTTCCAGTCAGACTTCATGTCCAACCATGAGATTACCAGGGCATGTGTATGGGATAGGTTCTACCAAAAGAATGATAAGACATTTATTAAGGTACAGCATGTAGTCCAGTGAATTTTCCCTGGATATTTTTGGAGCTATGCCAAAGTCTTGAGATAATCAGTTTGTTAGGAAGAGCACCAGAGATAACACTCTTAAAGCAGTTTTCCCTGAGTATATTCCATAAATAAGAGCTGCTTTTGTGGTTAGAGCTGAAATGGTTTTCTTTACTATAACCTTTCAACATCCATTTCAACGTTGTATTCAGTAAACAGTATAGCTTTGGCACCGGCATTTTTAAATTTATGAGTATCTTCAATTCTGAAAGTGAGGTACCTTGGCTGGACATGGGTGCTTAAGCTCAGGCTGCCACTATGCAGAAGAGGTTGCTGCTGAAGTAACAACTTTAGCTGGTGAACAGCTTTCTCTGTCATTGAAACTACTTAGTCTGTAATGATAGCAGAATCAATGAATACTCCCAGATCACTAGACCCATCTTATGGTAGGAATGTATCCTCATGTAGAATAGGTTGAGGACAACCAGCTTGAACAGACAAACCTAAGTGAATACTGGGTTAAAAATAATCTAGTTTATAATGGTAAATAAAGTGTTTCTATGATTTTAGGTTGGTGCATGCATTGTGAATCCAGAAAACAAGATAGTTGGAATTGGCTACAATGGCATGCCTAATGGATGCAGTGATGATGTGCTACCTTGGGCGAGAACAGCAGATAATAAACTTGACACAAAGTATCCCTATGGTAAATTATATCTCCAAATTAAATAACTTATTTCTATTTTTTTAATTAAGGAATACTGTTTACTTGGTAATTTTTTTCTTTCATGTTTAAGCTTTCTTTTCTCTTGATTATAAGACTAAAATTAAACAAAATTTGTATGCTATCTTCCTCCAGAGAAAGTGATGTTCCCCTTCATTCTTCATACAGCATTCTACCAACCTAACCAGATTCTGCTTGGACTGCTAGTCACATTTATTGAGCTGCCAACTATTTATCTCTTTCATAGTTTTCAGGGCAAATTTTTCAGCTGATTGGTTTCTTGTGGATGGTTTCCTTCAATACTGAGATTGTATACTTTCTGATGAGTACAAAACTTGTTACAAAGTATATCCTGGGATGCCTTCCTAATCTTTGCAGTGTATTATAGCACTATGTCCTTTAATTGTATCCTGATTTTTAAAGGGTTAAAATGGAGCTTTAATTCAAGGTAAACCAAGGTTACACAGTAAGCCTTTAACTTACTGTGCAACTCTAGTGTGTCTCTTCTTTCATTGCTTAACAATTCTGTTTATTCAAATATATAATCAGAAGATTTTAAATGTCCTTTAAATATGTTATAGTAGTGACTTTTTCAGAATCCTAGCCAGTTTAAATCTCTTTGTTTTGGATGATTGAGAAGTTGAGTTTTGAAGGCCTAATTTATTTTTGCGTTAAGTCAAGACAGAGTGTGTTTTTTGGTTCTGTATCAGATGCAGAAGTTGAGTTTAGAGTTCGATTGCTGTTTGCACAGCAATTTGATATAGTGCCCAATTTACACTTTGTTGCATAAGTGTTTACTTAATCAAAAGCCTGCCATGTATAGCAACAATTATTATTTGTGTAAGAGCTGACACTGAGCTGTGTTGCTTCTCAATATTACAAGTGAGATTCAGAGCTTGATTAAATATTGTTTATATTTTATACTTCCCAGTAGCCAAAGCTGTCTTTTAAGAAAGATGTAGTATAAGTAAGTTACTGCACTGACTGAACTATGGAAAATAAAATTTGTCTTATTTGTCTTTCAATATTTTTATTGAAAATAAAATACCAGTATTTTAATTTTAATTATGTTGGGATATATGCCACATTTTATTGCTTTTTAATATCACTTATATAAGCAGTAGCATAAAATCTCTAAGCAGCTTATATAAAAATATATAAAATGTGTGTTTAAAATAAATACAATCCTGTAGCCTTCTGACACTGTGTGAAGGGCCATAGGATAACTTAACTCTTAGAAAAACACTCCAAGACCAGAGTCTTGTGTCTCTGACCATGGATGGCCCTCCCTCTGTCTTTCCAGCAAGTGTTTCTTTCCATGTCATCTGGGTTCTGAAGATGGACTATCATCATCAGAGCTAGCATAGTATGGGGTGGAAAGGAGGACAACAGTGGGAAGAATGAGGCACCATTGTCCTTCAAGGACTCCCAGTGGTGCCCCCACCTCTCCTCTAAAAACATTTAGATAGTTAAAATTGGTCAAAATCCACCCTATTAAATGTTTTGGAGGATGAAGAGAAAATAGAGGTAATCCTAGCCTCTGTGGTCTTTCCATCTTTCAGTGGATGCCTGTAATGAAGAATTTGAAGATTTATGAGCCACCTTATTGATGGCACCCCTTTGTGTTATTTGGAAGTAAGCAATTGAATGTATGTTCCAAACTTACTGTGAATATGTTTATAGTTCTTTCATGAATTTTGAAAGTATTACTGCCAGATTTCCACTGGCTAGATCATTCATAGGATATCTTGAAATCTACATATACAGTCTGTTTTGCAGTTTCGAACTGGATGTTTTTGCCAGAAAACTGTTACTCAAAAGTTACTCAAAAGTCAATACATAGGACTTCAGTTTTCAATGGTGTTGCAAAATTCTTCATAAATTTGAATATATCAGCCTGGATCTTCAGAATTGAAATACAACTAGTTCTGTGCCTTCAAGGTCAACAGATTTCAGAAACAGAATACAGTGTCATAATGTTCCAAAGAAAGCAGTAGATGTAAAAAATAAACCATACCCAGAGTTTGCCTGCCTTTGGATCTTGGTCAGTGACTAAAACATGCAGTCTGTTTCCAACCAGAACATAATTCTCAAAATAAGATGAACTGCTTAACATACTAAAAGAGTGCTATATTATTGAACATATGTACTTCAAAAAGTTTTTTCTTCCTTATAAAATTACTGTTTTTTCTGAAGTTCCTAGTGTGGTGCTTATTGGGAATTATAAATAAATGATTCATTTTGGGATTATTCCAAGTTGACCTTGTAGGTATCAAATAAGTGTCTTAATAGGCACTTCAAAAGACTATCTTCTCAGGCACTAATGATAATGGTAACAGCACTATATGATGTCTAAACTGTGTTAGTGCTATTCACTTTTTCTTAAGCTTAGCTGCTGTTCTCTTACCTGGAGGCAAGAACTGCTTGTTTATACTTCATAACTCCCTCTGCTCTTAAGAACACAAAGTACATTTGCATAATCAAAGGAACATTCCTATCCATGCATGTAAACACATAAATGAGCTCCTTTATATTGGCAATTAGATGCTCTCTGGGAGCACTGGTGCTGTGAGATATTGCCACACTTAGGGTGGATGAAACTACTTGGCCTTCAGCCTATGGCTTTGTTTTGTCCTGTAGGTGTTCATGAATGGCCATGTTAATGTGCTTAATGATTTCATTACTCACTGCAAGCTTGGCCAGACTGCTTGACCTTCATTGATCTTGGTATTTCTGGATTATTTCCCCTCCCTTTCTTCCTCTAAATTTCTCTCCTGTGTGACAAATTGTGCTGGCTGTTTGCCTCTGGAAGGACACAGGCATTTGTAGCGTAACACTTTGTTAAGTTTTAGATTAATTACTTACGTTAATGAACACACACATGAATATTTGTTGGGTTCTTTTTATGTTTAATCAGTGTGTCATGCTGAACTGAATGCCATAATGAACAAGAACTCTGCTGACGTGAAAGGCTGCAGCATGTATGTTGCCTTGTTTCCATGTAATGAATGTGCAAAGCTCATCATCCAGGCAGGTAAGGAAAGGTGCCAGCTTGATTTTTCAGTACTGCTGTACTGCCTGTTTGCGGGTACCTCATCACCAGTGTATTTGGTTTTCAAATTGTGGCTGCTTAGATCTGAATTAATTGCACTATCAACCTTTAAGGCACTCCTTCTGTTTTCTATACTTGAGTGGAGCCAGGTTTTCCAGTACTAATTGCATCCTCTGTGATTCTTAGCTTGTTTTTAATTTAAGTTTGCAACTTCCTAGACCAAGAGCTGCCAAGGAACTGTGCAGTCATTGCATATAATTACTGTCAATTTACACTGCTCTGACACTTTGTGAACAGAATATAGGGGGTGGGGAGGGGAGAATAAACTTCGTGTAGCTCAAGATCTCCTGGGAGTATATATGTAACATTTTAATTTGAGCATCAGACATGGTAGGCACTTGAAGATTTTATCTCTTTGGTCATAAATGTCATAAGACTTCTAGGATCTCTCTTATAATTATGTCTTTCATTACAGTAGTTATAAATCTTTCCCACTGCGGCAGGTGCACTGATATGATGGGTTCTTCCCCACATTATTAGAATAGCAAAATGCTTGTCATTGGGATAGTGTTCAGAAACATGTATATTTTGTAGACTGCTGAGGTACATCTCTAGTTTTTTTAGTGAGGGTAGGCCACCCACCCTTAACAATGGTATGCGCTTGCTGTGCCATTGTCCCTAAGTGTAGTTCTATTTTTTGAGAAAATGGTAAAACACAAATTTTGCCTTTAAAGATTTTTTGGGTTCAGACCCTGCCATATGCAGCTAGGCTGGAAAAGAATCTTCCTATATCTTGAAAAGCTACTGCCAGTCAGTATGCATAATACTGGGAGCATAAAGCTGCCAGTGGCTACTAGTCTTGATGGTTATATGCTATTTTCCCTATCAGTTTGCCTCTGTATGCCAGTTGCTGGGGAACATGGATGAGAGGATGCTGTTGCACACCTGTCCTCTTGTGGTATCCCCATGAGCAACTGGCTGGTCACTGTGATGAGAATGCTGGACTAGATGGACCCTTGGTCTGAACCAGCATGACTGTTGTTAAATTTTTACGATCAGTTGTTTGATTCTTCGCATGTTTCCCCTGCAAAAGTAAAGTGCAGCCCTGCACTTAGAGAAAAAAAGACTTTACCCTCATTGGATACCCTCATCAGCATAACTGTATTCTAGGTTTTGTTTCTTGGGCATGCTTAAGTGTGATGGAATATTAAGAGAGTGAAACCAAATTTTGAGATAAGACTTTGCATTGCAATTGTCTCAGGTTCCATACTGCCACTTGTCACAAATGGGAGAGCTTTAGCCAGGTTATAAATAAGACTTTCTGGTAAAAATTTAAAATCATTAACTGTATTGGTTTGTCAAAATTTTAGTAAATAGAAGAAAGGGAGACCTCTGCAACTATTTACTTAAACACATTTAAACGTTATCAGAACTAAATAGTGAAGAAGGAAAAGGGATACATTCAATATTTATTACACAGAAGAGCAAGTTATACCTATTAATGGCATCAGAATATGTTCTTTAACTCATGGCTATGACAGAACTACTTAACACATAGTGAAGGGCAATTATAAATGTCACAAAATACACTATAAATGTGAAATAAGAATCTATAAAATAAAATGTGTAAGGTACATAAATGTAAAAGTATCTAATAATAATTGCCCTTTTAGTGAGAGCCGTTCATTGTAGCATGTATGCATTTTACAAATAATAAGGTCTTGGAAATCCTTACAAGCAGCATTCTTCTTCCCTAATGTTTTGAGAGAAATAACACTCCAACAGGGGTAAGATTTCCAAAATGTGCCAAAACAACTATGCATAATAAATATATTTGACATTGTGGGTATTTGTTTTAAAAATAGTAGTGAAATAGTTGAAGCAATCACCATTACAACAGTCTCCTTGACAAATATTGTACAGGCTCAATATCAGTTCTTATTCTTGGATTGTGTCTGTCACCATCTTTCAAGTGTTCAGGATATGACCTTAATTTGACATGTTGATAGACTGGAATATGAGTAGGATTGGGTTTGGCACACTTATACTGAATGGCTGCAGTAAATGGAGTGGAGGAGTAGTGGAGACAAAGGTAAAAATCTCAAGATATGAGTGCTTTGAAATTGCCCAGAATCTGCTTTAAGTAATTACATGGGGCTACCCTACTGCGTTTTTAAGGATGTATTCACAATACATACAAGGATGTATTCACAATACATACAAGAGAGATGTCTCTCTTCAGAGATGTCTCCTGTCTTTCAGTGCAAAGCATTGTGCACGCTGATGGACAGTAATAGCTTCAAATTCTGCAAACGGGAATGTCAGCAAAGTAGAAAGCAATCAGATAGCAACAATTTCACAGTTGCAGTTCATTGTTGATCATGTAGTGTTCTGTATATCGCTTCCTCTATTATGCCCCCCCCAACAATCCTACAGTGCATCCTAGAAAAAAATAACCTTTTTTGGATTTTCACCCTTGCATATGTGTTGGACCTGAGAATCCACCCACCCCTTTTTAAAACCTATAACTTATACAATTCTTGTCTTACTTAGCAATTCTCTTCCTTTCCATACCAAGCAAGCTTGTCTTACAGCAACAACTATTTGGAAAGTTACTCACCCTTTGCATCTGTCATGCTGGATTTTGTGATGTTGTGATGTTGGGTGACCTATTTTAGTGTTTTTGTAACATGCAGTGTGAGCTTGTCATAATGCTTTAACTGCTAAAAGAAGTTGTCAGCTTTAACTAATACTGGGTAGGTTATATAAAGAATACATTGAATAGGACACAAATCTATGAATATTGGGTTGGATCCAAACACGGTCATACCTAGCATAGACCCACTGAAATCAGTGTGCTTAAGCTATTCAAAATGTGGGTCTCAACTTGAGAAAATTCCCCATTCTTACAGGCAGAGTCTCTGAATAATGCATTTCTTTGTACAGATATTTCACATTTTAATGTTTATTTAGTCATTTGTTTATTGCTGCCCATGTAGTAATAAACCTAAAATTAAACTATCGTGTCTGTGATCAACAGAACTCTTGTTATTGTCTTTGGCAGATGGGGCTGTGTGCAAGAAGTGGTCTTTTCTGTAACCAGTTAAAACCCTACTGAACAGGAGGGGTCACTTTATTGGGAACACAGGCAATTTGATAATTGGGAGGTTCTATCATGTCTTGGTTTTAAAAATTTTCTAAATAGATGACTTTTTGGCTGTATATACCTAAATCAGACCTTTCTTTGAATATACTTAAACATATCTATTTAGTTCTGGTATCTGCTCATTATTCTAGGTATAAAAGAAGTTATTTTTATGTCAGACAAATATCATGATTCTCCAGAGATGACAGCTGCACGTCGCTTATTTGAATTATCTGGAATTGTATACAGGTGAGACTGTATGTAGGACATGTACCTTCCATTTTCCTTTCATATGATTCTGTGATCTTAATTGTGCTTTTATGGAGTCTCATGCCTATTTAACAGATCTTGGAACCAAGATCTGCAATCCTAGAAGAAACCATGAGTTATGTGTTGGTTTGGTGGTCATTTTTAGTTTCCACCTTGCTAGGTCATGATGACATGGCAGCCTGCACATAGGTTCAGTAAGTATGGAAATAAGGTGATGCACAACTGGCACATATGAGGCAGGAAGAACCATGATGACATTTCCTTCCTGGATTGTGCAAATCTTCTCATGGGCTGTGCAACTGAATGGCCATAGAGATGTGACATGGAATCACAGAACTGAGAAGCAGAGGCATGGTGGTGCATTTTGAAGTTCAAATGTTCATCATGACAGCCCCCATAACCATGTTGCTCTGGCAAGTCCAAAACATCAGCTCTATTATTCCATATCAATTTACCTGATTTAGAAGATTTCACCTCCACCAGGAGAGGGTGTGTTTTTTGGGTTTTTTTTTTAAACTAATGGATCTTAAGTACCTTTTCCAAACTATGCCACAGCAAAATACTTCAAGATACAATAAAGAACAATATATTGTTATTGGCAAAAATTAATGGTCACCTAAGGTATTATGAAGATTGTTGTTGTCTGGCCAAAGAGCTTCAGTCCATGGGCCTTCAGTTAAGAAGAGGAGGAAGAATATCAACTAAGTTCAGTGGGAACAAGAAATTCTGAGTGGGATGGAAGACAACTTCAGAATCCTTGCTAATAAAACAGTGCCAACACTATGTTCCTGAGCACCCTAAGTAAAACACATCACTGCTGGGAGATTGTTTGGGTCAAGTCTCTACTCAATCAAGGCTCAACAGTGCATGATGCAACCAGCAGCAGTACAAGATGTCGTGCTGCCTGTGTCAGGAAGATGTATGCTATTGACTCCGTTGCCTTCTCTTCCACAACCCTGACCACCCCCAGCCTGAATGCTATGCTTTGAGGAGCAGTTCTATAAAGTGTAGCATTGTGAAGTGGCCTGAGAGATGGTCTGTATGGGTGACCTGTGTAGAAGCAGCCTCAAGTGCTACCTTACAGTGCAGACTTTGAGGAAGTGTGGCAGTTGGGAGTGAGCACTTTTCTGGAATGGTCACCTGCCTGATCTCTCATTCAGGGAAGTCTCCACGAGTGCAACATCAGGCAGGAGATCTATTGAGAGAAGCCACCTACCCACCTGTTTTCTTATTCTGGGGGATTCCCATGAAGAAAGGATTAGCCAAGTGGCCCCACAGAGAAGCCACTACCCACACAATCTCTTGCTCAGGACATACTTCCGGAATGAGAGATCAGAGGGTTGGGCAGGCTACCACTCCAGAGAGTCCACCCACCTAATCTCTTTCTCTGAGCCCTTTTCCAAAGAAAGAGGAGACACCAGCTGCTTAGTACATTGCTATGTGTGAAGCTGTAGAGTGAGAGATGTATGTGGTGGGATAGGCAGCTGCTGCTTTAAGGAAAGCCCTGCTTGTTGCTTTCCTGCTGTGGCACTTGACAGAGCTGGTGAGCAGGGTCATTGAGCAGAGCAGCTCCTCTACTGGCTATGCCACTGGGGACAGGAAGTGGGGAATGATCTGTTGTCATCCATTATACCCTGGTCATAGGAGGACTGGCCCTGGATGCAACTATAGTATCCCCGACAGACCGCCATCCAGCCACTGCTTAAATACTGCCAGTGAAGGAGACAGTATTGTTGAGGCAGTCTGTTGTATTGTTGAATAGCCCTTACCATTGGGAATATCCAGATTTTTAGTTGAAATTTGATTCATTGTAATTTTCACAGTTTCTTGCCCTGTCCTGTAGAGTAACAGAGAGCAAGTAGAGAGGTACTTTATTCATTCATTTGTTCATTCATTTGACATATTCCATAATTAAATTACTCCCAAGGATTCTCTAAGTGGATTGTAAAAATACCAGGTGGACTGCCATTGTCTCCTGGTAGGTTAGACACAGGGCTTAGAGCACAGCGTCCTAAATCCTTAGTCAGAAGCACAGAGTTCAGCAGGACATACTTCAAGGGAAAACTATGTAAGATTAGGGGCTCTCAGAACAGTTTTTGGCTCTAACCCTTTACCTATCTCTGAGGCCTTTTCCAGGCTAGCACCCCTACAGAATCTATAGCCCAAAAATAAGCTTAGATTTTAGAAGGTACATAGGAAGGTAAATGTGTTCAGCAACTCAAGTGATAGGGTTACTGTGCTGTAGTAGAAGGCTAATTATTAAATCTTCAATAACTTAAAATGTTTTATAATTTAGAAATTTCGTAAGTTTACGTGTGTAACAATTCTGACTGCAAGTTTTAGGAGACTGATAGCTGCTAGACTAAAGCAGAGATTATGAATCAATGAAGCAATACTTCAAGTTCTGCTCTAAAGTTCTTCAGTGTCTACTGTGGGTACTAGGTGAAACAGAGGTGTATCTCATGTTACTAGTAAAATCTTCCAGTACAAATTCATGGTAAGAGTGCCTCCAGCCATTTCAGCTGATGGGCTGGAGGGCTGGATCAAGTTTGCATGCGAACATTTTCCCAAACTTGTCCTTCATTGTGTTGACTATTTTTGCCTTCAGTATTGATTTGTGAGGATATGGCTGTGTTTAATGAATCTCTAGAACTGAATTGTCAAGCTTAATGAGACACTAAATCCACAATATTTGCATAATCCTCTGTTTACTGGTACATTGTAAAATATATACACAGTCCCCAAATACCTTTCTTGCTAATTGCCGCAGCAGATGCTCTAATGATGTAAAAGGATAAGCTTTGTTGGTGATATTAATTTTACAATTGTAAAGTTGTAACTTTAAAATAGTATTCTATTTTCACAGGTTTATATTTTCTCTTTCTTGAATAATGCAGTTCATTTTCCCCTTTGCTCTAAGATTACTGAAGCAAACTTTGGAAGTTTTCTATGAAAAATTGGCAGGGAAAAAGATATCAAATGTTACAGAAAACTGGTTACATGATGCCACCTCCTGCAGCTAAGTTGTTAGAAATCCTTTGACTCCTGGCTAATTTATGAACTCCAATAGCTGAAGAACATACAGACTAAGCAACCCCATGTGTCTTTTTGTCTTAGTCTTTCTTGTTCGGGTTTCTCTCAGTATGGTGCACTATAATTGGCTCCTATAGAGATAAAACACAGAGTGAATCCAAGGATATTTTTTCCTTCTTAAAATTTAGTTGGGAGCCAAGGCAAACAAAATGTTTAACTACTTCACTAGCTAATACTCATTTCTCTCTCTCTTGTCGTTATTTTTAGGAAATTCAAACCAAAGTGCAGTAAGATCATCATTGATTTTGATTCAATTAACAGCAGACCAAGTCAAAAGCCTCTCTGAGTTACATCTAATTAAATCTCTAGAAGATTGTGATTATCCTTTTCTTAGAAGCTGCTAATGCCTTTCATCTTGAAGTTAGGCATAACTTTTTAATAGCCACTACAGTTTAACAAGACATCTAAAGACTATATTGGATTTTGATAATTTTGGTGTTCACTGGCATACTTGTAAACTTTGGCTTCCAGTACTTTGCCAAAACTTCTCTAAATGGAACCTTTAGGTGAGATCTGGATTTATGTATGAACAATAAAAAGCTGCCTTGTTTTTTTATTGATTATCCAACTAACGATCTGACTGGAGAAAACTTAATTTGCATGAAATAGCTGATGAAAATTGACTTATTCAGGAAAACTAATAGACACCTTCATTGACATCACTTTAAGAGACCTGTCTACTAGCTAAGTAACTCTACATAGAGTACAAATTAATTGAAAATACTGTATTTCAAACAATATGGTTATGCATTTCTATAAGAGCCAAAATATTGTGTTTTGTGAAATCTATCCTGTGTATTACACCTTGATCTTTTACCAGATGTTCATCTCTTTAATTGCTTCGTCTGTTGCACTGTAATACGTGAGCATGTGTTCAAAAATATTTGAAAAATGTTTCATTTTGGATACAGTTTTAGAATACCTTTAATTCTATTTCCCCAAGACAACTTCCATTTGGTAAAAGATAAGTGAATAAATCATTAGGCTTTCACCTATGGGGCCCTGTTTGGAACTGATTTTAATGTCTAAAAGGAAACTCATTTGTTGGTCTAAATTTCGGCTAGACAATACAGTGCATTACAATTCAGGAACCAGCCTCTAAGGTAACTTAATCACTACTTTTCCTCTAAGGGAAATAAGGAGATTCAGTCCATGCTGAGGTTGTACATGCCAAATGTTATAATTATACTTTTAGCTTGCTTTTAGTTGTTAAAAACTGGCCTTTTGCCATAAGTTTCAGGAACATTGGTTAAAGCTATCAAAAGCTTTCAGTATCTCCCCTTCAATTTGATTTTGGGGGAAAAAATAAATATGCCTTAATTGTCTTTGTGTAGAAAATGTTTCTGATCTCAAAGGTATTTGTGTGCTTTCTAAAAAAATACTGTAATGTGGGCTCTTGTTGAAATATTCTGTATATGAAGACATTATGTAATTTGGCGTACTACCAGTATTATGAAAGTCTTATTAAAATCCTACTTTGTTGAAGTAGACTCATTATTACAGTATATGCTTGGCTCTAGAGGGCTTCTGTTTCTGTAATCATATGCAAAGTGTGTTTTGTATATTTGTGATATAATTACATAAAGTGTAATGATCAAAAATTACTTTGTGGCTGAAAAAATATCATGCTGTGATGGCAGTTATATGTGAACTTTTAAAGATATTTTTTGGTCTCTAGCCACTTGAATTGCCCTCCGGCTTCTCCAGTCTTCCATCAGAAATTTGACTTTAATAAATGTATCTTCTCTAGATTTTGTTTTTCTGTATTTTAAGGGGAGGAGATCCTATAAAACACAACAACCTCATGGGGTTGCAAATTGCTACTGATTCTTCCTGATTTTCCTAGGGTATAAGAAAGGGAATACATACACAAGAGGGAAAAATGGAGCATAATATGAGTTATTAAGAGCACAAGCTGAGAACCTCTATAAGTGCTAGGAAACAGCTTATGAATGAATGATGTGGCCCAGTGCAAAGTAGTGTTATTTATACTGTCTCTTGGCCTACTTTACATTAGGGCTAGAAGTGGTGGGCTTTCTGGCTAAACATGTTTAGGATAGGTTGTTATAGAATTAAATTACCCTAGAAGAAAATCCCTGAATGGATATTCCCTCTACTTTTCTGTTTGAGTGAAGGAGACATTGAATCGTGTGTTAAAAAACCACAAGCCTTCACACAACAGGCCTGAAAATATAGGGCCAATTGGCTAGACTGCATTGCCTGTGGCTACTCCACCCCCTGGTCATCTTCAGAAAGAATCACATGGTAGGCAAAGGTGTGTAAAAAACATGGCCATTTCATGTCCATGTGGGAAGCAATAAGATCTGACTTCTGGATCTTATCCATCAGTGAAAGAGGCTGCCAGTTCAATGTATGATGCCCTACTGCAATAAGCAATCCCTGATGCTGATGTCAGTGGTTTTCAAATAGCTTTCCCAAGGCTTCAACACTCACCATTTTGTGGTACCAAAATGAGATGGGGAACTCAGACCAATCCTACATCATCATCACACTGAGGATGGTCACTGTCCAGAACAGCCTACCTCTCTTTGCCTCTCTTTACTGGTTTACCTCGAACAACTTGAAAGATGCCTACTTCCACATTACCAAAGACCATAATTATATATATTTCCTACACTTCCAGATAGCAGATGAAACTTTCCAATTCTTTGCACTCCCTTTGGGCACTCAACTGCCTCCAAGACCTTCACTAAGTGCATGGCCATTAAGTGCTCACACCTGCACCTCCAAGGAATACAGTATTTCCTTGATGACTGGCTTCTAGTTCTGCCATCTAAGGCAGAACTACTACAGAGCCCTCGAACAAATCTTCAGCACATGGGACAAGCCAAAGTCAATCTGTTTTCCACAGCCTGCAACGGTCTGCCTGAACTTCTGCTTCCAGGAGGGACAAGGAACTGGCTCCCTGGAAGCCATCATTCCTTCATTGATTGGAGGTACTTTTCTACCTCTTCCCCCTGACCATGAGGGTGTTCACGAGGATCAGGAAGGGCAAGACAGAGTGCATCCTTGTCAAGCCCAAGCAGCTGAGACAACTGTGGTTCACTTGGCATTTGACTCCTAACCTCAAGCTTGCTAGTTGCTGATACGATGCACAGAAACCACAAAGTAGAAAGTCAGATTGCTTACATGTAAATCTTGTTCTTGGAGTGGCCATCTATGCATTCACATAACCCGCCAACCAGCCACTTGGTGTCAAACCAATGACAACTGGCCCCCCTCCGTAGGACCATAGGGGCCAGATTGGGACACTCCTTCCTCAGTCCTGGAACCTATAGGTTGTCTCAATGAAATGAAAGAAATGGGCAGGAGCTCCTCCCATGGATGCAGGGAACAGGAAATGGAGGGTCTCCCACCCAAACTAATTCTTAGCAGCAGAATTTTCCAAACAACAGGCTCTATGTAGGCACTACTTTATCATGGTTTTCATTATTCCCACGCAGTTCTCCTATTGCTGGCATGTTTCCCATCAGCTACTGTGTCTGAAATTAAATCCCAAGGTGTATCACTCCCTGCCTATGTTGCCTGTCTTTTCCTTATTGGTCCACACATAGAGGCTGGATGGTTGGAGTGGTTCCTTCAATTGTCACTCTTTACTCAGGACTCTGTGGTAGTTGCATACCAGGACTGTGAAAACCATGAGCAAACGCATCAGCATAAACAAGCTGTGGTCATATGGAGAAACCATAGAACAAACCATTGTTTCTTAAAGACCAAACTTACCATGGGGAAATCCCATGACTGGGTTCAGACAACACAACAGATCGATGCTAAAAAGTTACCATAGCTTGTTTTATTGGCAACCCCTCCAATAGAACAGACTTTGGTTTGTTTTCCCAATCGGTGGCTTGTTTTCCTTTATCCAATTCCTTCCTGTATTCCTTCTTTGTGGTGCTGCAGTACTGACGTGTAGAGCAACTGGGTTTGTCTCTTTGTTCTACTATTCTTGCCTGCTACTCTGTAGCCTGGCCCACAACCCACAAACAACCCATTTTCCTGTTTTCACAAACTACATCCCATGGTTTAAATAACCCATTGTTCAGAACCTAAAAACAAGCCATGCATTTTCTTTCTGGGTTGTTCTTGATTAATATGCCATAGTCAGTTTGTGTGTCTGTGTTCACATCTCATGGCATCCCTGAATTTAACAACCCATGAATTAACTAAATAGATCAGTGTTATATGCAAACCAGGTAAGTGTCTTATTTTTCAAAGTAATGTGTATTCCATTTTTAACTTGCATTTTTTCATGCAAAGTCCTTGTGAAACAAAACATACCATGTTCAAAGTGCTCATTAATGTCCTGAAATTTTATTTTACAACACATTTTGGCTAATCACATGGTTTAAGAAGTCTGTGGCACAGATATAGTTTGTACCTTTCTTGTACTAAATAGCTCTAGTCTGAATATTATCGAATTAAAAATTACCCACTAAAACTATCTTTAAATTTTGCAGTTTAGAATAAGGACTGTATCAATGTCCAGACACTAAAGAACGTAATAACCCCTGAAGGTAGGGCTGCTGTTGCCTCTATTCAAGTAGTGATATAAATAGCTCCCTCTCACTCACAAGGTGCTACTTGCAGCACTGAAATCCAAGGAACTCTTGGGCAATGTGATGCATGTCGCCTAGAGTTGTGGTTTTCAAAATTTCTACCTTTGGACAACATTTTTTATCATCCTGAAAAAATCATCCTGAGCTTCTCCCGAGTTTCTAACATGAAATCTCTCTACTATCCAGGATACACAAATAGAATTGAGAGACTTACAAACCAGGGATCTAGAACTCAAATGTAATCATCCTTTACCAGTGTCTGGGGCTGATGGGAGTTGTAGACCAAAACACTGGGCAAGGGGCATTAATTTGCTTGCTCCCTTGCTCAGGTATTTGTGCATATCAGTCCAGTACCAATATACCAATGTGTAGCTGCCAGGTGCAACAAGAAATCAGTAGTGGTGGGCAGAAGCTTTTTGCCATTATGGCTCTCTTCAGTCCTTGATAAGCTTGACTGCAACCTGGCAGTTCCTCAGAATACATTTTGAAAACCCCAGAGCTAGAATGTTCCTGATTCAGCAAGCTTTATACTGTGCCACTCATATTGCATTAGTCCAGCATTCCCAGCGGAATAAAAGAAGCCTATTAATGAAATATCACCTCTGTGTAATGTTCTGAGATGGGTTCCTTGGTAAAGCTATCACATGTCCACAGAGAGCTCCACAGAAGGAGTTCAGGCTTAACCAAAGCATATTCTTTTTAAAGTTAAGAACAAAGTAGCTGTATTTAAGTTATTCCTTTTTGAGATTATTCTATTTATACTGCTTTTACTGCATTGGCCATTTTCCAATGCCAGAATGCAAGTATGGCAAAGATAGAGAGTTTTCTATTATAAATCCAATAACAGTTTATGGCTTTGTTCTTCTGGGGTCCTAAATCACATCTGGCTGATATCCTGATTTGATTCTTTTAGCTTTTGATAGGTTATAGAAATATGTCTGCAATAAAGATGCATTTGTGTGTGCTTTCTCTCTGTACTCAAGGAATAGTGACCAATCTCTCCCCATCCTGGCATAAAGTATATTCCTACTTGGGGGAACTCAGGTGCTGCCCGGAGCTACACATGTTTGGATTCAGTTGCAAAAATGCGTTCATTTATACACCTTCATTTCACATGTAGATATTATGTCTTAACCCCACAATCCTCCTTACCTTTTTATTTAGACAGCAGCAGTTTTCTGTAGCATATAAATAATGAAAATGGTACATGGGAAGAACGTACCTAACAATAACAGGGTTTGCATGACATGACAATCCATGAAGAGTATCTAGCCAATCCTGAACAGCTTTCTGCTAGTTTGTGAGAAACAAGCTACCCTGGCAACACATAGCTTGATCTAAGGCTTGTTGTACCTATGATGGGTGTCATGTTGTTCAAACCTACGCAATGGATGCCATCATAGGTACAGAAAAGTGATGAGAAGCTGTTCAGCAAGTGTGGCAAAATCCTCTTGCTGAGTTCACTCAGGCCACTATGGTGACAGCTACCCAAGCGACACTTTTTAGTGATTGTCACTGGCTTGGTCTCCCTTGTGTTGACCATGAGATATTTTGCAATAATGGCCTTTTCTCTCTTTTGCCCTCCCGCCCACTGGAATTGCTTTTCATGACCTCTGAAGCGACAGCCATGGACAGTCCCTTCAAACTGCCTAAGTGATACACTGGATCAGTTGTCACTAGTTGGTCTACATTTTTTAAAGGCTCTTGAGATCTATGCAGATGTTTTCATTGTTTTGTTGTTGGTGTTGAATTTTTGGAAGTGCAGATGTGCACAGCTCTGGTTATCTCAGACAGCCTTAGTTTATTGCCCTGGATAGTAAGTCTTGTCAAATACAGGAGGCATCATACATTGGTAATGCAGGGCCACAGACACATTAATTTGAGCTGTTAAGTGAGAAGGGAAGCTGTGAAGGATTCCTTGGCAAAAGGGAATAGCATATAGATCAGTTTCTACCCAATGAAATCTTC